CTTTGATTAAATGCAAAAAGCCCTTACCTCGTAAGTGGGAGAGAGAAATTCCAGACTTGGGACAAAGTTACATGACCTCCCTGAGTCCTAGTCTCCTTGTGGGCAAAGTAATGTGGATACTTTTCAGTATCTTGGAATCTATACATAAGATGACATGTGTAAATATTTAGCACATTTGGGTGGCCTTGAGCATCTTTTCTTTTTCCTTATTTAAGAGTCAGTCAGCTAATCAGTAACTGGAACTATACTTCTAAATGTTTTTATAGTTTTTTCCCAAGGATAAATGCAAAAAGCAATCATTTTATAACTCTTGAGTATTTACTAAACATTTAAACTGTTTAAGGCAGAAAAACAAAAGTTATCAATGCATGTCATTTGTCACATAGATGCTAAGAACTGACTTGTGCATGGTACAGTGCTGGGTAAAGGAACAAGGAGAGGTCCCAAATATGGATAAGTCCTGCTCATTGTCCTCAAGTCATTCCAATGGTTTAAGAAAAATAAGACACCTACTCAGTTCTAAGATGAAATGCCTTAAGTACCTTAAGAGAGGCACAAAGTGCTTTGTCACTTAAGAAAAGAGCAATTACTTCTGGCTAAGAGAGATGAAGGAAGCTTTCGTGACTTTGACACTTAAGCTGTAAACAGAAGCATGGGAAGAATTTGAATGCATGGAAATGACTCAGACAGTCATTGGGGGAACAGTAAAAGCAAGATGCAAAGGTGAGAAAAAGCCATGTGCAAAGAATGTAAGGCGTTTGGGTGGGTCATGGAACACATGGAGTGAGGTGAAGGAAAAGAGACTTGATCAGTAACCACATATAGTACTTTCTTTAATTTTTATAGCAACACTGTTATTAGGTGTGGTATTATTCACACTTTTAAGAGATGAGGAAGTTGAGGTTCAGGGGATTACGTGATTTCTCCAAAGATACTCAGCTAATTAAACCGGCCTACTATGAATACAATAGATCTGGGTCTGAAGAGGTAAGATAGACAAGTAAACTAGGTTTATAACGGGGAGATTGGATTGCCAATCCAAAATCATAAGATTTTGGATCCTATGATATAGTCCAGGAATTGGCAAACTGCAGCCTCTGAGCCAGATCTGGCCCACTACCAGTATTTGTCAATAAAATCTGTTAGAACAGGGCATTGCCTGGTTGTTGATGTATTTGTCTGATGGCTACTTTCACACTGCAACAGCAGAATTAATTTATTGTCCAGTGCACAAGTAAGAATGTTGAATTCATTGTCACTAACCTGTGCCTGTGGGTGGGGAGATGCGATTACTAAAACTGTGTTTTAAGCAAATTGTATAACATTAGCTAGATAAAGAGCTAAGCTACTCAGCCACTTACAGATGCCAACAAGTATGTGATTAATATTAAGCAAGGTATTTTTTATTTGAAGCATGGAAGAAAAAGCATATTTTTTAAATGTCTCAGTTGATCTTTAAGTATTTACTATTTTGAAGATTTTTTTTTGAAGAAATTTTAAAAATAAAAATACAAAAGAACATATCACACCCATGTTCCCACTACCTAGAATTATAACTATTAACATTCATCATATATTCTTTAAGATTTTAAATTTAAAAGTGAAGTATTACAGATAAAATGAAATTCTACTTGGCATGTTATTGTCGGTGTCATTCTCTTCCCAGATCTTTCTAGCAATAACCTCTGTCATGAAATTATTGAGTATCTTTCTAGTCTATTTTGAATACTTGTATATGTGTGTATCCGTATATAAATACAGATAGATGTTTGTATGTATGGGTTCAATTTAAAATTATACGCACAATGTAGCATACTGCCTGCAAAGTAGCAATAGCAGCTTACGTTTATTCGCTATTACCACCTGCCGGGAGCTGCACTGCTGTTACAGGACCCCACCACTTTGGCTCAGGGGTTTCCTCACTGTGGTTGCCAGAAAGATGTTACAGGAAAGCAGTCTCGATTCAGACCCCGAAGAGAGGGTTCTTGGATCTCACACAAGAAAGAATACAGAGCGAGTCCGTAGAGTACAGGGAAGGCAAGTTTATCAGGAAAGCAAAGGAATAAAAGAATGGCTACTCCATAGGCAGAGCACCCTGCGAGCTGTTGGCTGCCCACTTTTATGGTTATTTTTTGATGATATGCTAAATAAGAGATAGATTATTCATGCCTCCCCTTTTTAAGATCATGTAGGGTAACTTCCTGACTGTTGCCATGACATTTGTAAACTGTCTTAGCACTAATGGGAGTGTAGCAGTAAGGATGACCAGAGGTCACTACGTGGCCATCTTGGTTTTGGCCAGTTTGGGCCAACTTCTTTACTGCAACCTATTTTATCAGCAAGGTCTTCATGACCTGTGTCTTGTGCTGACCTCCTGTCTCTTCCTGTGACTTAGAATGCCTTAGCCATCTGGGAATGTAGCCCACTAGGTTTCAGCCTCATTTTACCCAGCTTCTGTTCAAGATGGAGTTGGTCTGGTTCACATGCTTCTGACACTGTCTCAGTCCTCTCATTGATCCTATGTAGCATGCAGTATTGCTGTCAAGTATTTTTTAAGAAATAAGGCCCACAGAGAGTTCTCTTCTGTAGAGTCACACAGTTAATAAGTGATAGGGCTGAGAATTAATTCTGCAGTCAGACTTTGGAGCCTGAGCTCTTGACCATCATCATAGATGGCCTGTTCACTGTGTCACTGCAGGATTCTTCACTCTCTCAGTATCATGTCTCTGATACCTGTGCTGGTTGAATTCATAGATCTAGTTCATTCCTTCTCACTGTTTTACCCTATTCTGTTGAATGAATACTGTACATAAGCAGCATTGCACATTGCATGGTGGTTAAGACCTATGAAATGGGAATAGTCAAAGTTCCTGTCTCACAGAGTTGTTGTGAAAATTAAGTTTAATTCAAATACAGTAGATAGAACAGCACCTGGTACAGATTAAGTACCCAGTAAATGTTGCTATTTGCTCTTGTCATATATCTATTACCCATTGAAACTATTCATTAGGATGTCTGCAGTTTTTCATGATTGCGTATATTGCCACAGTGAAAGCTCTGTGTCTGTTTGTTATTCTTTTTGGTATCTCCCTACAAGAAAACTTGACGGCTTGTAGAGTGTACGTGCTTCCAGTTTTACTTGATATTGCCAAACCCCGCTACACCAATTTCTTCTCCCTAGTGCACTGTGTGGCACCTCCCATTCCCCTGCATCCTCACAAACAGTTAATATTGTCTAAATATTTACGTTTGCCAACCTGATGGGTAAGAAATACTATCATGCTGAATTAATGAATTTTTAATAAATTTTCTTGAGATAGAATTTACATATTGCAAAATTCACCCTTTTAAAGTGTACAATTCAGTACACATTAGTATCACTTCACTACACAGTGGTTTTTAGTATGTTCACAAGGGTGTGCAACAATTACCTCTATCTGATTTTAGAGGAAATCGTCGACTGGTTAGCAATAACTCCCCATTTTCCCCTGCATGGGTAAACCCATGGTTTTGCTAATCTACTTTCTGTATGGATTTGCCTATTCTGAACACTTCATATAAATGGAGTCATGTGTTTTTGTGATTGGCTTCTTTCACTTAGCACAACGTTTTTGAGGTACATCCATGTCATAGCATGTATCAGCAAATTCATTCCTTTTTATGGCTCAATAATATTCCATTGTATGGATATACTGCATTTCATTTATCCATCAGATGATGGAAATTTGGTTGCTTCTACTCTTGACTATCACAAATAATGGTTCTATAAACATTCATATGCAAATTTTTATATAGACATCTTTTCAATTTTCTTAGTCATACATATATTTATGTACCTAGCAGTGGAATTGCTGGGTCATATGGTAATTCTGTGCCTAACATTTTGGAAAACGGCCAAACTGTCTTCCAAAGCAACGGTGTAATTCTACAATCACATCGGTGTATGAGGGTTCCAATGTCTTCACGTCTTCATCTCTAGTATTTGTTACTGTCTTTCTTTCTGATGCTAGCCATCCTAGTGGATGTGAAGTGGTATCCCATTGTGGTTTTGATTTGTGTTTCCTGATTACCAGTGACGTTGAGCATCTTTTGTACGTGCTTATTGACCATGTGTATGTCAGCTTTGGAGAAATGTCTATTCAAATCCCTTGTCCATTTTTAGAGGAGGGGGTATAATTTGTCTTCTTATTTGAATTGTAGGAGTTCTTTATGTGTTCCGGACACAAGTCTCTATCAGGTATATGATTTAAAAATATTTTTCCCATTCTGGAGGCGGAGGTTGCAGTGAGCCAAGATCACACCTCTGCATTGCAACCTGGGCGACAGAGCAAGACTCCATCTCAAAAAAATATATATATATATATATATTTTAAAAAGTATATATTTATATATATTATAAATATATTATTATATATTATATATAAATAAGTATATGTATATATTATATATAATATATTAAGTTTATGTATTATGTATTATATATAATGTATAAATATATTTTTCAAATGGGAAAAAGATAACCTACAGAATGAAAAAGATATATATTTATATATTTTTTCCCATTCTGTAGGTTATCACATCTTAATTGATGTGAAATGGTGAATTTTAATATTTGTGGTTTCACATTTCGTCAGAACTTCATTCTTCAAAATCATCTCATTATCTGCTAAGTGGATCACAAGCCAGATAACACTGAAGTAAATCATGCTCTGTGCAGTGGTGTTCCACCCGTCAGAAACTACCACATTGTTCACAGAAACAGTCTTCAGCTGGTGGAGAAAATTCAGTTTTGATAAAGCAGAGAAACCTTCACACCTAATTAGGGTTTGAATTTAATAACAAAAAGCATTGAAAAAACATTTCAGTATTTTCAAATTGCTGATGGATTAATTCAAAAGCATTTGGGTTTATGTTTAACCTGCCTTAACTCTTTCTTCTTTCCTTCTCCCTCTTCCTTTCTTTTCCCTGTCTCCCCTGTCTTTTCCCTATTTCTATTTCAGATTGAAAATGGCTCAGGAATCAGTCAGCAAGTTGACTTCAGAGAAGAAAGTGGAGACAAAGAAAATCAATCCCACTGCTAGCCTGGTGAGATATATTTTTCAACATAACCTAACAATTGTCATGAAAATTGAGTTGCACCCAGGAAGGGCTAAAACTCAGAGAAGAAACGTAGTATCCAGAGTCTCAGTTCCCATCCCAGAGTAGCATATGGTTTAAAAAAAAAAAAAAAAAAAAAAAAGGTATGTGTGGGTGGAGGTACAAAACATAGCTTTATATGTTTTTCCTGTAAACTCAACATAGGTCATTTCTGATAAACCAAATTTAGTCAGTTGCCATTTCACATCTTTCCACACCCTACGCACAGTACAATCACCCTTATCTCAAAGTATCTTTCTCTCAAAATGTTTAAATATACTCATTCTCTTCATTTGCTTTTCCCCATCAAAGAAAGAGGCAGGGATTCTCCTATTGATAGTTGGGAAATTTGAAGTGCGGAAAGATACAGGCTCCCCAGAGTCACTTGGCAAGTGGATAACAAAAACCAGGACCAGATTCTGGGTCTCCTGACATCGCTCCCTGTGCTGGAAAGCAGCAGTCTCCCCAGACTTCCTAGATTTGAGACTGCATTGTCCTCCAAAGTCCCGTTTTCAATAGAGATCACAGTGAATCTCCACGTAGGTGTTACAGACAATAGTCAGAGGAGCTACATGGTTAAGATCCCAGGATGTTGAGAATGAAATGGCCTGGGTTCAGAGCACAGCTCTGCCACTTACATAGTTGTAAAACCTTAGTCAAGTTACTTTGTTTCTTTCTCTTCCATGAAAAGAGCATATTACTTTTCCTTTGGGGTTATTTTGAGAAAACTGAGAAAAGACGTGTAAAATGCCTAACACATAATAAGAGCTCAATAAATATTAGTTGTTTTTCTTGTTGCTGTGAATTGCAGCTGCTTTGGTTGACCCTGCAATGGGGAATGGCGATGAGTGGGGAATGGCGATGAGTGGGAAGTGGAAGTATCACCCTTCTGTCTCGGATTTTTCAAACCCTACTCTCTCTGGACCCTGATGTCCCACAACTACTTACTTTATCCTTTTAGATTGTTAGTACTTTTTTGCTGGATGCTTCAAATCCTTTGAAAATCTAAGTGGGATCTAAGTTATAAAGTGAGATTATTTCTGTTGATTGACCATGATGTTTCTCCCAGCAACCCCATGAGCAGCTAAATGAATGTTGCATGAGGCTGATGAACGAGAAATGGAGAAGTCCGGGCTGCACAGCCTGGCTGGTAAAGCGATGGTCGAGTACATGGTCCCTACCTAACCAGACATGTCCTCTGTGCCCATTTAATGGGATATTTAGGACATTCATTTGTATGATTTTCAGTGGCAGTCGGCTGAACCCTGATTTTTATCTTCCTCCTCCATGAGCCTCTCCCTCTTCCTCCAGACTTTTATTTGGGCTTCTATCCAGACTTTTACAGCCAAGCCTGTTCCCCCAAGGCAGAGAGAATGGGGTCAGCCATGTAGACAAAAACGGTGGGTTTACGACCTCCCCTGTGAACAAGCTCCCAGTTGTGATCCTGGGCTTGTGGCAGTTGCTTATTTTATTGTCTGTACGGGTGGGTGGAAATTAGAGAAGAGCTTGTAAGCTGATTCCTGATTAAATTTCCCAAGTTAGGGATGGAGTCCAAATTTAGGATGGGTGTCAACAAATCATCAAGTTTATATCTAGGCCAATTTAGTAATTCACTGCAGCATCATACCTCATAGCTCATCAGCAGCCAAGGATCCATTCTCAAAGGCTTCTCTCTCTGCATCTGCTCATTCTCCCTTTTCCACTTTAGCCTTCTATTTGCCCTTCTCTAAGAGCAGATACACTATCCTTACCATACTCATGTGTTTACTTCCCTAATGTCACAGATACCATGAGGGTCCGTGTTTCTGTGTAGTGTGCTCCTGTTTATTTTTACATCTTCCCAGCAGATGTCCATGTTCTTCCCTTTAGAAGGCAGTCCCTGAGGAGGAAGCTCAGCGAATGAAGAGCATAACATCCATGGCAAATCGGGAACTTCTGCCATTCTGCAGAGACTAAATCTGGTCATCCCCCGTTTTGCATGGCTTTTCTTGAGTTCTGCCAAGTTGATCATTGGCAGATACATTGAACTTGGAAAAAGTAATTTTTTTCATATCTTCTTGAGCATTCTCTTAATTCCATCAGTGGGCCAGAGGTGGGGACGGAAGGGGTCCTTGAGTAACACTACAAAGTTAGGGTCTTTGTCACAAAAGAAGAGAACAGAAAAGACCACCCTGGCACGGTAGAGGCCCATGTTTTAGATGGATGTAGTTAGTAGATTGGCTGGTTATTGATTTCTTGTTTGTTTGTTTCTGGTGAGTAAGGGTGATAGGTAGGGAGGGGCAGATAACTAAGCTTAGGGAAAGAGCAGTGGAGGTCCTCTCATTTCTAGGCCGTTTGGCACAATTCCGGAAACTCAGCATTCTAGACCAGAATTTGAGAAATGTATCAAAACTTGAGAAAGATGAAAGAAATGATATATTCATTTTTCTTCCTTAACAGAAAGAAAGACTGCGTCAGAAGGAAGCCAGTGTGACCACCAACTAAGAGGAAGACGCATGGAAATGATGGCGCTGGAGATGGAGGACTGACCTTGCACGCATACTCTTTGTGACCACAGGGTTGCAGGACGTTCTTGAAAGATGTGTCACTAAATGTTTGTTTTGCTCATCTCTTTCTGAGGTCATCTGCAGAGAGTGCCCCATGCCTTCTTTAAGAAGTCTCACATTCAGCCACAGGAACAATGGAAAACTATTTAAGGGAACATTGCAGAAATATTTGATGACTGTTTCCTGTCGAAGCCCAAAGTCCACTCTGTTGTAAGACCAGAAGAAATACCACAGTTTTCCCAAAATTTTTTAAGAGCTGAGATTTCCAGCTTTATAACCAAAGCTTGATATAGGTCACATTGTCACAGAGGAGAGAAAGGAGCATTGAGGACAGTTGCCTTGGGAGAGTTCAAAGTCTTTGTCGTTACACGCTGCTGTTTTGATTATTGGTCTTAGTTTTGATCCTGTTGCAGCAAAATCCTGCAGCATCTTTCTCTCCAATGTTGCAACTCACCAAAACTATTTTTGAAGAGGTCCAAGAACACGTATTTTCCAGACTAGAAAAACGATTTTTTGTTGTTATGGTTTACGTAATGAAAAAGAGAAAAAACAGAATCGTACCTGGGTGGAGAGAGGGAGACATATAGCCATAAACTTCATCCTGGAGAACAAGTTACCATGCAAGGAGTCGACGTCAGTTATTAAGTGAGGCCCATTCTTGTTTTTACATCAGTCCTTAGTGGTTTTCTGGGCCAGCAGAAATTCTGCATCCCAGCTCCCTGGAGAAACTGTAATACCTGAGCAAGCATAGCCTTGGGGTCAGAGAACCTGCTTGGACAAGAGACCCAGCGGCAGAGCACCTTTCGCATTTTGGACCGTTCATGAATGGGCGATGTGTTGACATGCAGCTGAGTTCTACGTCATGTCCTGTGACTTTACAGCTGCACCCCCCGCCCGACCGTCCCCAGGAGGCAGTTTCCAGACAGGAGAGCAAATGCAACTCACAGCCCCCGCTCATGACCTTGGCTGATAGGCATGTGAAGTAGGGTGAAGCAGGACTCTTTCATGTCAAAAAAAAAAAAAGGGCAGAAAAAAGATTCCTTACATCAAAATGAAAAGGAGGTAATTACATTAATAGAAATCTTCAGGTGGAATGTTATTCATAGGCAGCTTTTTCTGACCCTGGCTCTTGAGTCACATAAGGAAACCACCTTGGACCTCTCTGATACTTTTGTCCTTAATCCACCTCTGAATTTATCTTGTGACGGGTGAAGAAAGAGGTGAGGGGTGAAGAAAGAGGACTGGAGATGAATTGAGAATATGTTCAAAGACTCATTTTAGGCCTTGAAGAAAGAGAGGCTGAGCTTTCTCCTCCAGTTGGTGGAGGACAGTCCAGAGATGGGCAGGAATCTTAAATTTCTTCCCAATCCAGCCATCACATGTGGCGTGCCCCTTGCCCCAGCATCTTTCCAGAACCCTTGGACTTGCCAGGTGCCTGAGCATCTTCCCAGGATATGCCTGCCAGCCAGCAGCCCCTCAGGAATGCTTCTATAACAGATCCAGTAATGAAAACAGCACCATATCCTAATCTAATGTCAGCTTCGGGAATGAAGACTGTGGTCAGGATCAAATCAAGTCACAGAAGCCATATTCATGCAGGTGCTAACCGCCTCTTCTACTGGTGCAACTGAAAGGAATATGGTAACACGTTGGATTTTTAAAATTCACAATGAAGGAATGAGAGAAGCAAAATAGAAAAGCCGAGAAGGAACATGCATGACTAAAAAGGCTTGAAGTTGCTTGTGAGCAAGAAGCTTTTTATGCTGCTTTCTTAGTTTCTCTTCGTTTTCACTTAACTCTGAAGACAACCAAAAGAACTGATCAATTAAAAACGAATTCCACTTACAGCCATCCTATGCTCCTTCTAGTGTTACCATGCACAGGAAAAGTGCCAGTTTTACCCATGCCATAGAAATCAGCTCTGAGTTCTGTGGGGCCAGCAGATGTCTAAATCCTTATAGGCTTGATGGTGAGAGCAACAGGAGGTTTTCAGTGGAGTCACTGCTGTCCACTTTGGTCTCTAAATAGGATGCTCATGAGAAATCAGTGAAGGTAAGCAGGGCTGCCACTGTGGCCACGTCACCCTGCCAGGAACCAGTGCTGAAGAATAATGAGTGAGAATGCTTAATTTGAGAGTTAGACAAATGCAGCCCACTTTGGATTTCATCCTAGTGAACAGACTAAAACTGCAGTAAAATACCTATTTCTACAAAGCAAGGTTTGCCTGCCTTGGTTGGGGAAACCTAGTGGTTTTGTCACGCTGGTCAATGTATTATGTTGGTGTTTTAAGACACCATGGCAGAACCTTCATTATTCTCACCTGTTCTGAACCCTGCGTCATATATCTGGGATGCCCCCTCCCAAGTCCACCAATGTACCACATTGCTGACACGGCCTTCATTTTTAACTCAAATTGATGCTCAGTAAAGGTCAATGACAGTTTGTTCAAGGAAGTTCATCTAGAATAATCTGGAGGCCTTGAAAATGATCTCTCTAAAATGCTGTCGAGCTTGTATTTAGGGCGGCAGGAGAGTCTGAACTTTCTGGAGAGGAGGTGATCGGGATGCCATTCGGCAGCTTGAGCACATCCAGCCAGCAGGCTTTAAGTGGCTGTTCTAGGCATAGCCCTCCCTGAACTAGAAAGGAGAGTAACCAGTGTTGCTAGCTGTGTCTAACCAGACACTCACACCTGACTTACTAGTAACTCTAAGAACCCTTAACTTACAAACAACTTTGTCTCCTCATAGACAAAATTTATTAAATCTGAGGACACAGTTTGACAATAGTTCAGATTCTTGCATGAGCAATCGACAAGCATCAGAGCACGCAAAATATCATAAGTTACATAAATTGCACAAAGTATATCATAAATCACACTATAGATATGTTAGGTAAAAAGCATCAGGCCCATGAAGTATCAAAAACCAGGTTAGGAGGTGTGCTGTATGGCTTTCACTTCAAGAAGTGGCAGCTTATTGGGGAAAAAGAAGTAAGAAAAAGTGTGGCCAAGCAGAAGTGAATGTTTATGATGACAGTGGGGGGCCCAGAGGTCATAGGTGATGGCCCTACTGCCCAACAGTTGCCTTTTGAATCCTATGTTGATGATGGTGTCTTCCTGCACACTCACTGCGACTTACTCAGGAATTATGGAGAAAGATTATCTGAAATCTGAGAAGTGGAATAAGGAAACCCAGTGGTGCTATTACACCTTTAAATGTTCTAGCCAAAACAAATTGCCAGTATGGTTGAGGAATGGAATATCAGATGGCATATGCGGTCTCCCCTCCTCTCCCCTATCAAGGACAGTAGAAGCTGCAAACCTCTTCTCAGCCTCCTTCAGGCACCTCCTGTTTTCATAAGCACCATAAAGAATGGTGTTTCTTAAGTGAAAAGTTCAGATACTGCTGGTGAAGAAACTGGAAAAAACTGAAGGAAGGAATAAAACATGGTAGTATTAACACCTCCAGTAAGATAAGTCATTGGTATGGTTTTTCTAAGGGACACAGTGAGAGGTAGCAGAAGAAATACGTGTATTTTGGGTGAAGGTTTGCCTGTTGGCCTGGGATTGCACATTCTCTTTACATTATGCTGTCTGCAACAGAGAAATTTTCATTTGAATGATATTCTTCCTTTCTTGAAAGTTATATGTCCTCATTTCTATTTCTGCTTCTCCCTTGGCCAGTATCATTGATGCAGATCATTGCATGCAACAGCACAGCAAACTGCACCAAGTCAGTGTGTGAAGGGGACTTTGCAATGCACGCTTGCAGGCTCTTTTTCCGGGAACCAGGCTGTAACATTGACGGGGGAACCTCTTTGCTCCCTGACATACAAAATTGGTCGATTTTATAGTACTCACCTCCACCCATAAAAACAACAAAGATAAAATCAATTTGAAGCTTGATATGATGAGAAGGAAGAAGTCCAAAAATATATAGCTTCCCCCCCATATCTAATCCAAATATTAAATATCTGATTTTATAAAGTAGTTTAAATTGTCTTTTTAAATTGCTAACAAGAAGCATCAGTTATATTTGAGCTTCATTTTTCTTTTATCCTGTCTGTTCTAATAAAAGTGGCCAAAAGGTGGCGAGGAAAGAAAAAGCTTCCACTTTTCAAAAATTTTTTTGTATTAGTTATTTTATCTTTAGGTACCCTGCAACTGAAGAGAGTGGAGAGAATAAAGACATGAACTTTCATTCATGTCTGCTACTTTGTCTTCATAAAGAAATCTGCAACACAGATGAAACCAGTCTGTGTGGCCAAGCTGATAGGATTTGAAAAGAGTGGATAATTTTTAGCCTTTCCAGAATGCAAATAATTTGTTGCATATATTTCCATTTTCCAGCTATAGAGAGAAACAATCTAGCTGCCTGGAAACTGTTATTAGTACAGAAGTGGCTTAAAGAAAACACCTTCGAATAGTCCACTCAGCAGATCTGTCTTCTTTAGACTTACATAATGATACTCATATCTCCATTAGCGATTGCATCCAGGCATAACCAGGCTCAGTTACACAGCTTGTATGTGACCGGGAAGCCCATTTTGTGTCATTTCTGCACACCTGTCCTCTGTTGACACCTTATTAGAGACACTGCATTTTGGTTTCACAATTCTTCATCTCCCTTCCCAAGGAAGGGCACTCTACCAAACTCTTCCAGATCAGTGCTTTGTTGGGAAGTGATGAGTTTTAACATGTCCAATTTGAAGCCTTGTCCAATTCTGTATCCTTATTTGTTCCGAGACTCTTAACCAATACTGTGATATAAAGTTTGCATTTGGGAGACTTGTGTAGTTAACAACTTACTTGGAAATAAGAAGATACTAAAATGGCGGCTAGCTAACTCTGTCTCTTAAGCTACTGTGCAATTTCTACCAATGGAGAGATGAGGGAAGCAAATTAAGCTTCATTCAGTAGGTCTGCTGTCTGGTAGAACTTACGGAACTCATTTCCTCCTCTATCCCCAGCCCTTCTCCTCACTACTCTGGTGATAACCAGGGGCATAGACCTTTTCTCTCTTACCCTTCTCTTCTCTGATAGGTTGGTTTCCTTCAGTCAACAGCTCACGTGAACTCCAGACTTTATTCTGTATTACACCTCTGAAGTTCTTGATCTGGGGAAGAGTGACTTTTACTCCATTTTTATATGAAGGTAGTAGATATAGCCATCAATTTATTTTTCTACATTCCCTCTAACCTTATGTAACTATCTATTTTTAAATCTTCTCTTAAATATACTGAGAATCTCTAGTCTGTCTCCTTTTCTAAAGGCTGATCCAACTACACTTGTGGGCCATTTTTCCAAGCTTTGCATGAAACTTGATAACATTGGACCAGCAAAATGCTAAAGAGACTATAGTTTCAGGCAGCAAATCACATCCAAAGAATTTGGCGTGAATTAACCTCTGCCACACTATAGCTATCACATAGGCTGAACATTTTCCTAAATTCTACCTGTGCAGACACTGAGGGGCTCTCTACCTTTGAAACTATGAGAATGTCTTAAATGAATATGAATATTTCTCTCCATCTACATAGTATGAGCTGCCAATGCATTATCTTATACTTAGTACATCAAGAAGGAAATCAGATGTTTTCAGGCACACGTTAGCAATGGTTTGTTAACGTCCTTGGCAAGTAGTTTAAATTGTGTACTTTCCTTCATTGTTCTCTTCAGGGACTTTCTTCCACTTTCCTGTCATGAAACTGCTGTATTTTTGATGGTTCAACTGGGTTCGCTTTCCAGATCTGTCTTCCTAAAATGAAAGGTTAGTCCCGTAGACCACTGGCTATTCAGGGAATGACTCTACCTCCCCATGACAAGGATGATAAGTGTTCAGGGATGAACCTGGAAACTCAGCATGGAGTTTGAATTCCAGATTTCTTTATAGGAGATGTATAAAAAGGAGTTTATAGCATACAAAAATTATACTGCTCTTCCCAATAAGGGACTAAAAGGACGTTTGAAATCTTTATACTTTAGATGTTTTTGTGAGTTACAAATATCTCCTCCTTTTTCCTCTCTTCATGCTAACTTGTCTGTAGGTAAAATCTTATTTCTTCATACATCGGGCCACAAGGCATAAGGAAGGTAACTCAGCCCCACCGAGATTGTGTTCTGCATAATCTGAAAGGCTTCCATTTCTATTGAAAAATCCATGAGCGAGAGGGAAAGCGTAGTAACAATTCTCCTGTTTGCTCACAATGACACAAATAGGTTTTGGGGATCTACCTAAGGGATAGGTCTACAACAAAACTACTAATTTTATAATTCTGCAATTCTATAATTTCCCGAGGCATAAGTAATATGACCCTACTGTCAGCTAGATGGCTAATCTTCAAAGAGTGTATGTATTAATAAAAAGGATTTCCCTTTAAAGAACTAATCTAAAATACTTCTAAAAAGGCAGAAACTTTTAAAATTAGAAATTGGATAATTTTTAATCTTTAAGAATCTTTAGAGAAAATGTTGATTTATCATAGTCTTTTTCTTTCATTGAGTTTTCATTTAGACTAGCATGGTAAGCAGGGTGGCCTTGGACTTCGATTTAGGGGATTGCGCTTTGGCCTGGAAAATAAGCACTGGCCTGCATGCCTAGAACCTAAGTGACGGCAGTCAGCATCCTAGTGTGTATCAGACCTAGCAGAAATGTAAATTATTTCAAGTACTTTAGTTTTCTTAGTGATACCCTGGACCCTGGATGCAGCTTTCTAAAGTGTGTCTGATCCATGCAGTTATATGTCTTCATAGAGCTGGGGCCTTGTGAGGTTGCAAGCAATGGGAAGAGCAAGAAAAAAAGGATGCATGGAGGGGAAAAAATTTGAACGAAGCTAATGCAATGTTTTGCTGATAGATTACGTTGTTAGGGAGCTGGTGATTTTTTGCCATGGTTGTATCCTGGACAGCTTTTTGTGGAAGTTCAAGACATCTGTATTAGGCAAATGTGAGTGCCCATGATCTTGTATTGATCAGTGCCAGACAATGTACTGGGAAAGCAGGTACCCCAGTGAAGCTGGTCTGTACTTGGTTTAACAGCTCCAACAATTTCAGATCCATGGGGCTGCTTGTCCGTAGACCCTGTTTACTCCATGCCTGTTCAAAAGTCATTATGACTTCTAGCTTTGTTTCACTTTCTCCTTTCAATACTTCTGTTCCAGCTTCCTTTTCCTTCGTATTCCATGGCTATTTTTTTTCTTTCTTTACAGTTTCTCCCAGACCCAGATTTTTTCACCTCTCTGCATCATAGACAACTGAATATCTCCCTTGGCCCCTCCTCCCTCCCCTCACACCCTGTGCTCCATCCATTCCTCAGCCGTTTGGACAGGGAGCCCCGCTGTCACCAAGGAGCCCATGTGAGACACACTGCTGTGACTGCCTCTTGTTAATGTCAGCATCACCTCATCACTTAAGCAAAAAGGAAAATCCATAAAAGAGATGGAAAATACGTCTCTTTTTATTTTACTTTATTTTAAGAAGGTTGGGCAGGGTGGCGGGGGGGTGTTATTCTAGGCCTTCTCAAGTTTTCATAGATTTTACTTTAATTAAGGCCATTCTCTTGATAAATTTGTACATCAGAGCAGGTCACCAGCTATGATGCAGAAGGCCAGATTTTTGAATCTCAAGCAACTCTGCTGCTGGGCAAATTGACTTAATTCTGTGCAGGCAAAAACACTTTGAATCATAAGGCTTTTTATTGCCACTCCATTCTTACTACTACTCATGATTCAAACATCTACCCCTATTCTGAATCAGGATGCTGACACTTTTGGGTTATTTTCAGATGAACAGTAACTGCTACACTCTTGAAAGCACTTAAAGTGTAAGCGTGTCCTAAATAGCCATTTAACCTGGTAAAACATTGGCTTTTCTGTTTAGTTAAGTATTAGACCAATCTGTAGATACAATCTGAAAGGATTTTAGGCAGTCATGAAGACAATTGGGGAGAGGGGAAGGCCCTTTAAAAGACATGAAACCTTACGTGCTCTTGGATATTTGTAAGCATAATAAGCTCATTGGATTCAGGTATTTTCCCTTTGCGTTTTTAAAAATATGTATTTCTGATTTGTTTGCATATTTAATTTTGTCAAAGCTGAGAAATGCTCATGAGTTGAATTTATAAATGTCATTTGCAACCAAATGAAGTATTTATTTTTAAAAAGAAAAGGTGAAGGAACCAATACTGATTTGTACATAATAAAAATATGTGTGCGTATTATATATATATATATATTTTTTCCTCCTTGACAGTACTTGGTCACCATATCAAGTGTATTTTTGTATATAATATATATTGATTAGAAAAATGTCAATTGTCTAGTCAAAAAATTCTCTGTGATCGATTATATTTATCCTAATCTGTTGATACCGCTGTTAATTTGTTTTAAGAGATAGAATTATATTTTTTGGAATTTACAGAGAATTGCATTCATGACTTTCAATTGTAAATATGCTAAGGGTATTTTAATAAATCTTGGTTTCATGTCCATCTGGTATGCAATGCAGATTTGTTTTCAGGAGGCATGTAAAGCAATCTCCCAGTAGTACTGTAATGTGGATAATAGCTGTCATTTCTAACTTGTATTACCACTCAAGTACACTGTTACTTCTGAGCTGCAAGAGCTGGGTCTGAGGAAGTCTATCACTGGTATTTCCTTTTTTCTCCCATTTCTACCCTTTCAACTGTGGGCAACTTGGCCAGGCAGTGAAGGCTAACAACCAACAGACAAAACCAGCCAGGCATTAGGCTTACCCAAAAGCAACACTGCTTGAATATAAATTGCCCAAGGGACGGGGCACGAAGAGATTGGTGACTTCAGGCTATGGGTTGAAAACAATAAACTAGAGAAACAGAATAGAAACATGATTGTATGTATTATCTTAGCACACGGTGCACATTATTTTCAAGGAATAATATGAAGCATGCAGGTATTTTATAAACATAAAACCAAAACACTTTAAGCAAAACACTCTTCTATTTAAATACAAAGGTAATTGTGTTCTTTAATTAATACATTTCTTTGGTGTTCCTGAATGCCATACACTCTAGAGTTCTAGATATTTGCTGCAGTATACCCTATCATGTATAGCAATGTTTAATGAACAGACAGTTATTATCTAGGAAGACATTTCACCACTACAAAATCTTCTAAATCATAGTCAATGAGCTGCAAAAAATCTTTGGACATTGGAGAAAATCTCTCAGTAAAACTGCTGAAGTTCAAGGGAATTGCTAAAAATCACAGTGTTGGTGAACACTTCAAGACTAGAACCCGGATTTTTTGACACTAAGGTCAAAGTCCTTCCAACTGATGGATTCATTCATCAAATTAGACTGCTCTCTCCTTCAAAATACTCTATCATGGAGAAATATTCCAGAACTATTTGAAAAGAAGAATCCAAAGGCTGCTAACATTTTTAAGAAACATTATTAGGGTTGTGTTCTGAATTACAACACCCATGTGAGGGTAGAGGCCTGGGTGTCATAAAGACTTTGGAAAGAATACCAGCACACCATAGGAAGAATCTCATTTCTGGTCTAACCAAGATTTATTCTCCCCTGCTTAGTTAATGAGTATACATTTTTGCCTAGTCTTTAAATAGTCTATGAAGCTGATGCTCCAACTAACATCTGTTTTTGTGTTTTGTGTTCCTGTAACAGAATACCTGAGAATGGTCAATTTATAAACAGAAATCTGTTGTCTAACAGTTCTAGAGACTGAGAAGTCCAATATGGCACCAGCATCTGGCAAGGACCTTCTTGCTGCATCATCACATGGCAGAAGGCAAAAGGCCACAGAGGCAAGGGGGGCCCTAGCGTTTTTCATAACTGCATTAATCCCACCCATGAAGATGAAGCCCTCATAGCCTCATCACTTCTTAAAGGTCCCATGTCTTAATACTGTTACAATGGCAATTAAACTTTAACATGAGTTTTAGAAGGGACATTCAAACCATAGCACAGGTTTTTAATCCCTGAGGCTGAATCTTCTCCTCCAGATCAGCTGCCCACTTTCACCTTGCTGTGAGTGTCATTACGGAAATAAAAGACTTTACAGTTCTCCACTGGCCCTTCATGCACATGAGATGCCACTGAGTCCAAATCTTCTGAAGGTAATGTCTGCTTCATGCCCATCATTGTGTAATGATAAATAGTAGGAGAAAATAACTTTATTAGTTATTAATTGCTGTATAACAAAATACCCCAAAATTTTAGTGCATTAATGCAACAATATTACTCATTTCTCTTGGCTTTTGTTGATCAAGAGTTTGAGAAGGGCTCAGCTGTACTATTCTCACTTGGAGTGTCTCATAAGGTTGTAGCAATATGTTTATTGACATATCTGTCATCTAAACATCATAACATGTTTATCAACATATCTGTCAACATCTAAAAAAATTATTAATATGAGTCTGTTATCGTCTGAAAACTGGATGGCTTGAGTGGGACTGGAAGATGCACTTTCCAGTTAGCTGACTCAGCTGGCAAGTTGGTGCTGGCTCTAAGCTGGAAGCCTCAGTTCCTCTCCACATGGCCCCGTCTTGAGTGGTCCAAAGTGAAACATGTAATGTTCTTTCTGACCAAAGCTCAGAAGCTGGTCAGTTTCATCATATTAAGCTATTTATAAATCATCTGTGCAGATTGGGGAAGTGAGGAACTAGACTCTACCTCTTGATGGAAGAATGTCAATGCCACATTGTAAGAGCATGTAAGATGGGATGTCTATTGGTGAGACCATCTTTGGAAAATACAATCTGTCACAGCAGCTTGCCCCGTGTTTTTCTCTCTAGTCTTTCTCCTCCTTCCCTTGTTCTAATTTTTGTCCTAAAACTAGGTTTTAGATTTCTTTTTCAAAATTTTTCCCACTTTTCCCCAAATCTTCCCTCCCTCAATCTGCATATTGGAGCATAGACATGTTTGTCTTGCCTCTCTGGAATAGAGGCACTCTTTACCTTGAAGAAAGTGAAATGTATCCTAACTAGTGGAGGAAATAACTGACTTTATATTTTATAAGTGACTTTACAAACACTGATTGAGAAAAGAAGGACTCAAAGATGATCCTAGGATTTTACTTTAAAATCATAAGCCTGTATTGTTTATCATATGTCTAGGAAAGATGATGATCCCTGCTAAAGCTGGGTCTTGGCCAGTAAGTAAATGAAATCACACCTTTTCAGTGGCTTGAAATATTCCATTGACTATTATAATAATAGTATATATGTATTAATATAATGGAATATTATTCAGCCTTAAAAAAGAATGAAATTTCAACACATGCTACATGAATGAACCTTGAAGATGTGATACTAAGTGAAATAAGCCAGTCACAAAAGGACAAATATTGCATGGCCCATGATATGGTTTGGCTGTGTCCCCACCCAAATCTCACCTTGAATTGTAATAATCTCCACATGTCAAGGACAGGGCCAGGTGGAGATAATTGAATCATGGGTGCGGTTCCCCCATACTGTTCTCATGGTAGTGAATAAGTCTCATGGGATCTGATGGTTTTATAAATGGGAGTTCCCCTGCATATGCTTTCTTGCCTGCTGCCAGGTAAGATGTGCCTTTGCTCTTCCTTTGCCTTGCACCATGATTGTGAGGCCTCCCCAGCTATGTGGAACTGTTCCTTTAAAGAGTCCATTAAACCTCTTTTTCTTTATAAATTACCCAGGCCCGGGTATTTCATCATGCAGTGTGAAAATGGACTAATACAGTCCACTTACATGTAGTACCTAGAGTAATCAAAATTATAGAGACAAAGTAGAATGGTGGTTTCCAGGGGCTGGAGGAAGAGGGAATAGGGAATTACTATTTCATAGGTATGGAGTTTCATTTTGGGAAGATGAAAAAGTTCTGGAGATGGATGGTGGTGATGGTTGAACAACCATGTGAATGTATTTAATGCCTCTCAACTGTACACTTTAAAATGGTGAACTGGTAGGTTTTATGTATATTTTACCACAATAAAAAATAATAGTGTATACATATGTATTAAGGGCTTCCTGTATGCCAGCTAGTCTATTAAGCATTTTATATGTATTAATTTAATATGCATAATAATATTACAAAGTAAAGAATACTACTATTCCTATTTTACAGATTTTAAAAGTGAGTTTTGGAGAATTGAATAACTTTCCCATGCAGTCGGTAAGTGGCTAAAACAGAATTCAATCTAAAGAAACATTCTCAACCACGATTCTGTCTCTGTCTCTAAGGTCACAAAAATTGAATTAGCTAATTCAGGAGAAAGAAGAATGTATAGGCAAACATTTTGAGGTCTTGTCACATGGGTGGTCTTATAATTTCATTTTTGAGAGATAGTAAAAATGTACCATCTAACAGGATGCTTCTTTCTCAGTCATTTTGCTCTTTAACCTTGGCTTACTTTTTGTCAAACACCTAGCCCAAGAGCATTGAAGCCACCAGCACTTCTGTAAAAGGCAAAGGAACTAACAGAATACAGTTGTATACATATATGCTTCAAGGAACAGCTCATATACATCTGCCAACACTTTCTTCCTTTTATAGGTGGGGTGAAGCAGGGCATAATACAGACAAAAAGTGAGCAGGAGCTGGTGAGAAGCACTTGAGGGACACTATGAGACTAAGAGGAGCAGCCATCTAATCCACCCTTGAGTTGTTATCCTAAAGTAGCCTCATAGTGAATCAGTCTGCAAATATATCTAACAAAGTAGAACAATGTCCTAGCCATGGAAAAAAAATGTTTAAAGAAAATTGGATCATACACTACCCAGAATTTCCCAGCACCATCTACCAATATTGTGGCTATGTCATTGCTTGATCTGAAGCCAAAATGAGACCCAGTTGGAGCTGATTCAGGGTTATTTTGAAGATATTTGCCACTGAAATTAAATCTTCTGTTGAAAGAACCACAACAGATAGTTGTCCTCAATTTTCTTACGCTGGCCAGAAATAGAAGGAAAGAGAAAAATCCTTCAAGAATGAAAATGCCTTCCCTCATACTTCAAGTTCTAGAAAACATAAGAGTTACCAGATTATTCAGTCACTTTGCCTGACCTTCTAAGACTTCCAGCCTAGTTTCAAAGATCAAAATGGTTTAGCTACCTCTGGGAAACCATTGCATTTGGGGGGATTTGTCCCACAGAAGAATTTTGGCCTAAGTCGTGGGAAGAGAGTGCTGATTTACAAAGTGAAAACACCTCTGCTCTTTAGCTTCTGCTTCTGATTCAGTGTGAGAGAGAGGAGAACATGAAGGACCCCACCAAGGGCTCTCCCAGTGGCCCATTACAAGCCTCTCCAAAGAGGTCCTTTCTGATATAAGAGCCCGCTCATCTCACTGGATCCCCATGTAAAATTTAGTGGTAACTTAGAGAAAAATGGCCTCCTAAAATACACATTTTTATTGATATGTCCTCTAATGAGAAGTCATGACCCTAAGAAAACTGTAGGGGCAGCACAACATAAGGAAAGATCATGGCCTTTGTGATCAGACCCAATCTTATATCCCAGCTCTGCCACTTACTAACGTGGTGACCTGATGCAAGTTACAGCACTTTAAGCCTCAGATGCCTCATCTAAAAATAGGAATTAAAAAATATCTCAAATGGATTGTATAAGGTTGTCAAGGGTTCTTAATGGACACACACACACACAAATATTGTCAAGGGTACAAAGAAATAATGCAAAAATGTGTGACACAAAGCAATAAACATTATTTTCTTCTTTCATTTAAGAATAGTGGCATGAGTGGTGTAAGGTTAGAGAAAACTAGGTCCATGCATGTCTGTGTCTTTTCACAGTGTCAGGCTTTTATTCATGTTATTTCAATCACAAAAGCCACAGGCTACATGGAGTTTCCAAGGAGGCAATTCTTCGTACCATTTTCTTTTCACTCAGTAGTCAGAACCAGGGCATGCAGGCTCAAGCCACTCTACAAGTCAGTTAATATTTCAAACCATAGATAATAGCATATTTAATTAATATATAAATGTTATAGGTTAAATACCTTACAGCAAAGTAATATTTAACATCAAGAGAAAAAAGAGATAGGAGAAAGGGTTAATGAACAAGTCCAGGGGGAGCTATGACGACAAAAGGAGTCCTGGTTGCGTTTGGGTGGTTCATAGGTGATATGGTTTGGCTGTGTCCCCACCCAAATCTCAACTTGAATTGCATCTCCCAGAATTCCCACGTGTTGTGGAAGGGACCTAGGGGGAGGTAATTGAATCCTGGGGTTCCATCTTTCCTGTGCTATTTTCATGATAGTGAATGAGTCTCACGAGATCTGATGGGTTTATTAGGGGTTTCCACTTTTGCATATTCCTCATTTTTCTCTTGCCGCCGCCATGTAAGAAGTGCCTTTCACCTCCTACCATGATTCTGATGCCTTCCCAGTCATGTGGAAGTGTAAGTCCAATTAAATTTCTCTTTTTTCCCAGTCTTGGGTATGTCTTTATCAGCAGCATGAAAATGGACCAATACAGTAAATTGGTACTGGTAGAGTGGGGCCTTGCTGAAAAGATACCCGAAAAAATGTGGAAGCATCTTTGGAACTGGGTATCAGGCAGAAGTTGGAACAATTTGGAAGGCTCAGAAGAAGACAGGAAAATGTGGGAAAGTTTAGAACCTCCTAGAGACTTGTTGAATGGCTTTGACAAAAATGCTGATAATGATATGGACAAATAAAATCCAGGCTGAGGTGGTCTCAGATGGAGCTGAGGAACTTCTTGGGAACTGGAGCAAAGGTGACTCTTGTTATGTTTTAGCAAAGCGACTGGCAGCATTTTGCCCCTGCCTTAGCGATCTATAGAACTTTGAACTTGAGAGAGATGATTTAGGATATCTGACGGAAGAAATTTCTAAGCAGCAAAGCATTCAGAAGGTGACTTGGGTGCTGTTAAAAGCATTCCACTTTAAAAGGGAAATGGAGCATAAAAGTTCAGAAAATTTGCGGCCTGATAATGCAGTAGAAAAGAAAAACCCATTTTTTGAGGAGAAATTCAAGCTGGCTGCAGAAATTTGAATAAGTAACAAGGAGGTGAATGTTAATCCCAAAGACAATGGGGAAAATGTCTCCAGGGCATGTCATAGGTCTTCACCGAAGCCGCTCCCATCACAGCCTAGGAGGAGCAAATGGTTTTGTGGGCCAGGCCCAGGCTCCCCATGCTGTGTGCAGCCTAGGGACTTGGTGCTCTGTGTCCCAGCTGCTCCAGCCATTGCTAAAAGGGGCCAAGGTACAGTTTAGTCCCTGGTTTCAGAGAATGCAAGCCCCAAACCTTGGCAGCTTCCGTGTGGTGTTGAGCCTGCAGGTGCACAGACGTCAAGAATTGAGGTTTGAGAACCTACCCCTAGATTTCAGAAGATGTGTGAAAACGCCTGGATGCCTAAGCAAAAGTTTGCTGCAGGGGCGGGGCCCTCATGGAGAACCTCTGCTAGAGCAGTGCAGAAGGGAAATGTGGGGTCGGAGCCCCCACACACAGTCCCTACTGTGGCACTGCCTAGTGGAGCTGTGAGAAGAGGGCCACCGTCCTCCAGACGCCAGAATGGTAGATCCACTGGCAGCTTGCACTGTGCGCCTGGACACTCAACACCAGCTGGTGAAAGCAGCCAGAAGGGAGGCTGCTCCCTGCAAAGCCACAGGGGCGGAGCTGCCCAAAACCATGGGAAGCCACCTTTTGCATCAGAGTGACCTGGATTTGAGAACTGGGGTTCTCAAAATTTGGAACTTTAAAATTTGACTGCCCCACTGGATTTCAGACTTACATGGGTCCTGTAATCCCTTCGTTTTAGCCAATTTCTCCCATTTGGAATGGCTGTATTTACCCAATATCTGCACCCCCATTGTATCTAGGATGCAACTAGCTCATGATTTTATAGACTCATGAGCGGAAGAGACTTACCTTGTCTCAGATGAGACTTTGGACTGTGGACTTTTGGGTTAATGCTGAAATGACTTTGGGGAACTGTGGGAAGGCATGATTGGTTTTGAAATGTGAGGACATGAGATTTGGAGGGGCCAGGGGTGGAATAATATGGTTTGGCTGTGTCCCCACCCAATCTCAACTTGAATTGTATCTCCCAGAATTTCCACGTGTTGTGGGAGGGACCCAGGGGGAGGTAATTGAATCACAGGGATTGGTCTTTCCCGTGCTATTCTCATGATAGTAAGTCTCACGAGATCCGATGGGTTTATCGGGGGTTTCTGCTTTTGCATCTTCCTCCTTTTTCTCTTGCTACCACCATGTAAGAAGTGCCTTTCACCTCCCGCCGTGATTCTGAGGCCTCCGTAGCCATGTGTAAGGTATGTCTCAGTCTCAGGTATGTCTTTATCAGCAGCGTGAAAATGGGCTAATACAGTGGGTCTTGCAAGGAAGAGCGTCTGAGGTGGCACAGCCTTCAGTGGGAGATGCCAAGTATTAACTGCAAGCCTGTGTCAGTTAAGATGGCTGTTTTAAGCTCCTGAAGGCTAAATTTTTTTTTATAGTCACAGTGTCTTCTGGTGAAAACTGATAGTGGAAGAGTTTGTTTGTTTGTGACCATATCTAGTTGGATGCAATCTTTATTTCTTTATATGTTTATTAAACAAAACATGTTATCCATATTGGCAAAGTGCCCTATGGAATATAAAGTAAAGTCTTTTTCTAAGATGGAGTTATGTCACAGGTGCTCTACACAAACAGCCAATATTGTTTTTCCTGGGCCATCCCCTTTTGAACTTCGCAATTGGAAAATATTGGCTCATCTCCTGAGCCTAAACCTTGTCACTCGATTGCTCAGTTTGCATGTGAGTTGATTCATCCTGGCCTTCCCCGTTCGTCTAGGGGTGAGATACTCTTTCAGTTCTAGTTAGCCCACAACAGTACTTTATTTATTCACTTGGACGTTTTGCATTTCAATTTCCACATTCGTTTAGACCAGATGATTTTTAAGTTTCTCTGTAAGCAGCTATTGTAGAAAGCACCGTGTGAGCTCCCGTCTTCGAGACCTACAGTATACCAAAGAGGAAACACACCATTAATAAAAATGAATGGGCATTTACAGTAAACACATAATATTTGGGAAGAGGCCATTGACGCTTAGAGCTGAAGACTGGCTCTTTAGACATTTCTCTTGAAGAACAGCAGAAAAGAGAGAGCCTATTCCAGGTAGCATAATGACCCATGTGG